GTTTTGTTCGTTTTTAAAAATTGAAAAGGGTAAAGAAATTAGGCAATGAATTGTAGAGATGAACGAACTATTGTAGAGATGCTGTAAATACATTCGATAAGGTTACAATACTCGGTACTTGTGGAGTATCCGGGGGGGGGGTAAACTTTCAATATCGGGGGGGTAAAATTTTATATACGTTATACACGACCCCTTTTAAAGATATTCAGCCGCTTAAGTGATTCGGTGGCAAATTCCCTTCAAATGTAAAGATATTCAATTTATTGAGGTGATTACTTGATTACGTGATTCGAGGTGATACTCGATCAAAAACGTGGGGAGAAAGAAAAGGGAAGGTAAAGATAAAAAAAAGGGGGGGTGCGAAAGGCGGGGCGAAAAAGGTCATTTGTCCCACTCCCAACTTCTACAAAATTTTTTTATGTCATTATTAGAAATGTAATAATATCCTAGTTGGCGGGTCATTTTTTTTCTTCAAAATCATTTTTTGAGATAGTTTTATGTGTTGATGTGGGTCCGGCAGATCCACAACCCACACGTGGTTTTGAAGAAAAAAAGTGGTCCCCCAACTAGGATACTATCAAAAGTTTTTTTTTCAGAATGCTTCAAAAGTTTTTCAGAATTTCAGAATTTTTCATTTTTGGGCATTTGGTTGGTTTTTGAAAGTTTACCCCGGATCTTAAAATTTTACCCCGGATATTGAAAGACCCCGGATACTCCACAAGTACCCAATACTCTAAAACAGTTTTACTCAGATTATTTAGTCAATGGGTGTCTTGCTCTTCATCGTGCTTCCGTGTTTTCTTTTGGCATTGGCGATTTTCGGAGTCAACTTCTTGCCGGAAGCTTGTAAGATATTTAAAATTAACGGGGTTTTTCCTGAGTTTTTTCTAGGCTAAATCAAGAACCAGCATAATGCATAATCTCATGATAAAGCTTAGCTTTGACTTAACTTTAATATTCGACGATTGCATTGATTTGTGTTTCAGTTGTCTCTTCACCCTGTATCTTAATGTTTCTTCATTCGGCCTCAAACTCGTTAATAATCATCTTTTCAACGGAATCTTATCGAAAAGCTGTGAAAAGCTGGCTACGTTTAGCCAGAAAAAGTTTGTTTCACTAAAATGCAAAGAGGCAGCTATTTTTAGATAGAATCGACACAATTCTCGTCACATTGCCATTCAATAGTGTGGTCACGAATCATACACGTGATCTATAGAGTTTACAGCAAATGGGAGCACTTGGCCTTTAAATAAAGATCAATCAACAACCGCTTTCCAATCGCTTTCCAAAAACAAACGTGCAAGAGTGAAGAATTTACTATGTGGAAATCAAATAAATCTAAAGCATCAGTAGGAGAAATACGACCGCAATCTCAGTAAATTCTTATATCAGAAGAAACCGCAACAATATCAAAACAAAGCTTTTGATCGAACGACTCATATGAAAAGGATGACTGCAAAATCAATTAAATTAAGATACAATACCGAGCAAAAGTCTTGCAACATCACTTTTTCAAAAAAACCGATGAAAATTTTTCTATAGAAAATGCTACCCGTTCGTAGGGCTTTTTTGTTTTTAATTAGAATAATACATGTACATTTTATTTACAAAAACAAATTTGAAGCTCAGCGTAAAACAAAAAAGTAAATGACAAAACTACTAAAAAATATCCTAAAAACTGAGTGCAAAAGTCTTGCAACATTATACAGAAACATTAAAAATTACTATTCAATCGGTCCACCTTTTGCCAAAATCACTTTATTAAGTCGTTTAGGCATTGAGTCGACTAATTCGTGAAGAATTGCTGGTCGAATTGAGCTCTAAACTTTTCGCATGTAGAACCATAATTCAATTTTTGTGTAGAAGTCTTTTCCTCGTAACTTTGTCTTCATGTAGGCCCATAAATTCTCAATAACGTTTAAATGCGGCGACATAGGGGTCACCTCGACCAACAAAAAATTATTAAGGGCAAACCATCCAGGGAGATGAGCTTTTCCTCCATTTGAGAGATTCACCGTGCGACCCATCATGAGCTTGCTCTTGTGAACCGGCGAATTGTGGGTGTTCTGGTAGAGAAACCATCCAGCAGCCATGTGATCCTGAGCAAATGAAAGTAGACGCTCTTCTAGTATTCCCATATACTGGCGAGCCTCCATGGTTGACTGGACGAGGATGAGCGGACCTGCCACATTTTTTGCCATCGCCCCTAGAAAAATACAAATTAATGGATGTATTAGAAATGAGGCTTACCAAAAAACATGATTGGTCCTCCGCCAGCTCGCATTGTAGATCGCACATATTTAAGGAGTATTTGCTTTTCAATGGGTCGTCTGATCAAGTGGTTGCCTTTTGGAGAAAAGATATCCACTTTTGTTTCATCGACAAAAACCACGTTGGCCCAATCCTGCTTTGTCCAACTTTGGTACGTCCTGGCGAATAGAAGCCGTTGTTTCCTGTGGCCAGCGGTCGTCAAAGGCTTTCGTACAGCCCTCCGGCTATACAGTCCTGCTTGAGTCAATCGTCGAGAAACGGTCCATCGAGTGATATCCTTGTTTGCAACACCCTTGATCAGCCGAGCTCCATCAGTTGATTTCATGTTCGGATCCTTCTTGGAAGCCCTCACGAGTATTCGATCCTCTTTTGCTGTTGTTCTTCTTGGCCGTCCTTTCTTCTCGCTTCGATGCATAAGTCCAGCTGTTTTGCTTTTGAAACAATACGAGAAACGATCGAAGGATCGCATTTGAAGAGATCCGAGCCAACGGCTCGAGAAATTCCTTTTTTTCTTGCTTTCATGATTTTTTCTTTTTCGGGAGTCGTCAATTAGGTACCTGGCATCTGAAAAAAACAAAAATTAGTGTAAATTAATAAATTTGAAAACAATAAAGATGAGAAACATAGAATGTTGCAAGACTTTTGCACTCAGTTTTTAGGATATTTTTTAGTAGTTTTGTCATTTACTTTTTTGATTTACGCTGAACTTAAAATTTGTTTTTGTAAATAAAATGTACATGTATTATTCTATTGTATTCTATCAATAATTAAAAACAAAAAAGGTGGCACGAACAGGTGGCATTTTCTAAAAAAAATTTCACCAATTTTTTTGAAAAGCGATGTTGCAAGACTTTTGCTCGGTATTGTATGTGAAAATGCGAGAACAAAAGATAGGAATAAAAGAGCTTCAGAATTCAAGATTTGTTGCTGTTTCTAGACGCAAATCTGGATCTATCATCTCACCTTCTATCACCAAGAATTGTACTCCTTCTCCTGAGAAAATTTTGGGTTTGAAAAGAAATCCTTGAATATCCGATAAGGGCTTCACAAAGGTCAACAATTTCATAATTTCATTTCATTTGGATCTCCATTTTCTTCTAAACGTGAGCTGGATTCAATACGAAAAAAAGTTTGGAAAGATTATTGAATATGAAACAGAAACAAACGGCTACAGCAAATGGGAGCCCTAGCTGCTATTCAGCTGCAATTCTTTCCTTAACCTAGGGAAGGTTATAGAAAAACGGAAAATACGCTTAGGAATGCAAAATTCACATGCGCAAAAGTTGCTTCTTTATAATTGACAAAGGAAAGGGGCGAAATCGAGTCGCAATCCTTTAAACCAATTGTTGACACGAATTCCACGGATCAGGTTCACGGGCGTAGGTGGAAGCATTACACTCTCAACGATAGACATCTTTTCCCTTAGACACCAACTTCATCTGATGCGAGCGGTCACATGACGGAGTTTGAATGAGCCCACGAGAGACGAGGAAAGTGCTGGTAGCTTTCTCATCGAGAACCACAAGATCAGCGAGGCGAGTAGGCGAGGGGGGGGGGGTTTTTTCGGGGGGGTTTTTTTTTTTGGAGGGAACCCACCCTTTTTCGCTCGATCCCTAAAAAATGAATGTTAGTGCACGAAAGAAGAAAGTTTTAGCATGAAAAAGAAAAAAAAGAAAAATACAAAACGTTGTGTCGTGAGCGAGTACTGATCAAAACAAAAATCTCTGGGTTTTTATGGGACAATCTAATAAAAGCTCCAAAGACCCTAAGATTGGCCTGTTACATAATTGCAGAGTATAATTAGATTCCTGTTGACGTGCGATTTTAAGGGACTGACGCGAAAGTGGCGCGGTGCGCTTTCTAAAGCGTGGATGCGCTATCGTACCCCGCACAAAAATCCCCTTTTGCCATTCTTTTCATTTTCCTTCATTCCATGATGGAGTCGGAAACTTTGTTCGGCTTTTATATCGAGTTCCGCTAAGTTTTCTTCCCCTTCGTAAAATCTATTATGTTTCTATAGCGCGTTTTTAAAGTACTCGCTCCCCTCGTTCGTTCCCTTCTTTTTATATTGTATGCCCAAAGTTTGTTGTTTAAAATTCTAATACGGTTTTATTTCGTTTTCTTTTCAGCTCCTTCCACACCATTGTTTTCAATTTGTTCACGCAAGCCTTATAAACTCAATTTAGCCAATTCCTTTAAACTAAAACGCAAATCTAAATAATCTGCCACGGCGAGATCTTTTTTACTTCGTCTTACATTTCGTATCAAATCATTGACCGCCAGCTTGCCAAGAAACTTTTGGGATTTTTGTGTTTCTTGTATTTTTCTATTCTCCGAACCCGCAATCCCTATTCCAAGCCCTAGAAGCTATTTGTTTTCCCTTATCAGTTTTGTCCATGATGGGCTTGCTTTTATTTGATTTTACCGTGTATTGAATTCGAGCATAACCGTTTGAATCACTTTGAATCGAGCACTGGAACATAATAGTTTTCAATTTAAATTCTCGTCAATTATATGCAAATTCTTAAATGATTACCTGAATATTCTAATTTTCTCAGATTTTAGCTGAGTATTTTGAGTGAAGGACAAAAATTCAATTTTCGGTCAATTTTTCTTCCCTTTCCGTGCCATGTCTTACTTTTTTTCTCTTCGTTATTTGATTTTGTCACTTGCATACACATTTTGTTCATTTTAGAAGAGGCAGCGAAAAGCGAGAAGCAAATTGACGTATGGCGGCTCGTCCGTTTCTAAAGCGCGGCGCTGGCACCACCGACAAGTACAAAGTTGGATTTTTAGAATTCAAAACAAGCTTTGGCCTCATTTTGGCTTTAGTTTGAACAGAATGGCTTCTCTAGTAAATAAATTTCGGCAAAATCTAGTCCTCACCTAGAAATTACTGGTCAAGAAATGTTTTTGTATCAATAGTTTATTTTTTACAAGCTTTACTTTTATGTAGCTTGTAGGATTTAATGATTGGTTGGTCTATTATTCACTGATTAATTTAGATCAACTACCCAGTGATGGCCCGATCGAGGCAAAATGCGAGCCTTTCAAGTCCACAAGAAGTGATCGATTTGACCGGAAATGAAGTACGATTTTTTTATTGTATTGATGACATTGATTGTTTTGAGCAAAGTCAAGTTCTATTACTAGAGCCAATTTTTATTTTAGTTTCAATACGCAAGTGTTCCTGTGCGAAGATCACCAAATGCATCTTATGAAGAATTCGTAAGCATTTTGAACAGCTTTTAAGTTTGAATATTTTTTAGACGACTTTGACTGTGCCATCAGTTGTTTATGAAGAAAGAGCTATCAATGCTGAAAGTTGGCTTTTCGTAGTGCTAATAAAATAGTTGTGGGGTTAATCTTTATATTAACTATCAACTATCAACAACTTTATTAAAAAAACAACTATCGACTGTCAACAAACAACTTTTTTTAGGCGGTGGCCGTACAGACAGTGGACGAGGGAGTCGAGAAGCGCACACGCCCGAGAAAAATCAACGAGACAAATTTAGATATCAATCGCTGGAATATATTGTAAGTTGCTAGCCGTTTTTAACTTTGATTTATTGATTTAGGCTCCTAATCCATTGAGAATCGCGCGTACAAATGACTCTGGAGTCTCCGAATCACCGGAAGCGAGAGGAGAACGCGATTCTCAACATGTAAGAGGCTTGTGAAAAGGATTTGAATGGATTAACTAAACCGAAAAGTTTATTTTAGTATCGTACCGCCTTCTCGGATCCTGATCAGAGTCGGGATGAGCCTTTGCCAATAGCGCCACAACGCAATCAGTTAATTTCTCTTGGCGCTTATCCGGCCACCATTTCAGAGGAGACACAAAGTATGCTTTTAACTTTGCTCCAGTTGGCTAGAAAATGCTTGCAAGGCTTCAAAAAATCAGTTTCAACTGTTTAGATGTTCTTCCATCGACTCGAGACTCTGATGATCTTTCATCGCTCGGAACAAAGCGCTCAACTAGAGTGCTAGAAACGCGAGTATCCGCGCGAGCAGCTATGAATGACAATAAAAGATGCACGGCAACGATGGAAAGCAGTCAAAGTATTTCTGGTTATTAGACTTGTAAAACTTTGATACATTTATAAGAAGTCAGTTTTACATTATCTTTTATTTAGAAGGGACTATGGACAGTGTATCTGAGATTTCTTCGTTGACAACCGGCTCATCTTATCCAGTTTTGACGCCAAGTAACGGGTTTGTTTAATTTTTTAGACTGATATAAAGGCTATCTTTAGGCAACAACGAATCGTAGAACCTCCACCTAAGCCACAAACTGTCCAAGATAGTCACTTCTTTCAGAAAAATATAGGTAGTCACTTCTTTTACATTTGCCAGTTTATCCATTTGAGTAGGTCCACCTCCAGGTCCGCTTCATGACTATCGTCCTCTGCGACAATTGGTGCCTTCTGGTGGAACGGTTGGTTTTAAATGCGCATTTTTATAAAACAAATACAGTTTAGTCTGTGGCTTCATCAATTGCAGCGGCGGTTCCATCACAAGGGACAAAGAGACTTCCTGCTGCCGTTGAGAGATGCACTCAAGTTCGAATGGTCAAAAAGCTATTATTGAAATAAGTGTTTTAGGCCAATTCTACTGATTTCCCACGAACACAAAGACCCGAAGTGAGATTAAATGAAAAGGTTTTTTTCAAAATAAAGCAAGTAAGGCAACAACTTTTTTTCAGCCAAAACTAAATATCAATGAAGTGCCAAAGGTGGACGATCCAATCACATTCACTCCTCGACACCAGCCAAACAGAGGGTAACTTTGAAATAGGTTTGACAAATGGGATTGTTTCGCTTTAGTTTATCCACTCTTGAATCACATTTGGCTCGACAACTCCGCGACACCATTATCAATGTGGATTTTGCTGAAGCTGAGATGAGACAACGATTTCATGACGTGAGAAGGATGAATTGAGAATTTCTAATTGGGGAGTATTTTAGTTGGAAAGAGATGTGTGGAACAGAGAGCAAGCATTGGAGGATAAAAGAAAGGTAGTTTAGCGTTGTTTACTAATGTTTATTTCTAACTATATGTCATGAAGTGGGTATCATGTACTGTTTAGGTCCAAGAAGAGGCTTTCCAACGAGAACGTGCGGAAATTGAACGAGAAAAAGGAAGTCTCGGGCGATTGTCGAAAGCTCAAAAGAAGGGCTCGAATGAGAAGGAGAACGAGCTGGCTAAACAGGTTAAAATATTTTCCAGTCAATTACTAGGTTGATTTTAGCTTGATGATGCCAAGGAATCGAACGGAAAAATTTATTCTCAAGTGATCGATCTACGGAATAAATTGAAGCGCAGCGAGACGGAGGTCGAGGATTTGAGAAAAGCAAAAGAAAAGGAGAAGGCTAAAGCGGAACGATTGCAAGGGCGCATTGATCAATTACAGGTTAGCAGATCAAGAGATCAAAATTATAGTACACTGCAAGAACGCTAGGATGTTTAAAAAAATGTTTATTTCTGTAACATAAGCTTTTAGACTTGTTGGGCTCTTAAACTCGACTCAAATTTGATATTTTTTAGTCGGAAGTAGCCGTTCAACGTGGTCGGTTTGCTATGGACAAAACGAGAAACGATCGCGACGTTGTCAACAGCCAGAAGGCTCAGGCGACATTTAATCTACAGGTGCTTATACGTTTTGATTCTAGAATTTTTGATTGTTAGACTCGAAAGAATTTCCATACGGACACTGCAACAAATCGTCGCATTTGTCGAGAGGATAGTGGTGTTTCGGATGTTCTCAGCTCAAGAAATGGCACTGCAAGCGGGAAAAATGTTCATTGGGCTGATCAACCACACTCAATACCGGATTCTCCGACGGCAAAACAATATGTAAGTTGACTTAAATACAAATTGTCGAAAATTATTTTACGCGATTTGTGCATTCGGAACAGATTTTTCTGAAGCTTTTATTTTAGAAATTGTTTTCCGCCGAGTCAACATCATCATGTCGAAGGAGGACTTTCATCGCCGGTGGTTGGACCAAGGTAGCTGATTTTTATAAACATTTTAAACGACTCGTTTAGAGTGAGGAAAGAGATTGTGGGTGCACTCTATTCGAATATCACACTGGAGACATCTTCTGGAAAAGACCCGAAGTCGAGGTACTGCTTTGGTTGATTTTAAATCCACAACCTAACGTTTAGGTTTACTATTACATGCGAATTGGTGTGAATGAGGTTCAATTCACGAACGGGCCTGTGTTTAGACTCTTCCGTAATGGACAGGTAGTTTAAGAATTTTCAAAAAGAACTCGCAATCGCGGATTTAGTTCGATTTCATTCGTGTGGATGGACAAACAACTTCGATTCGCCCTGATGGAACGCGTTTTGAAAGAAAACTTAATGTCTCGATGAGATGGATTTGTCAAAAGTACGTTTTCAAGCAAAATAGCTGTATTTTTAGGAGTATTTGTAGCCTTTCTATCTAGATTCACTCCGGATCGTGACCCGCTGAGAAATGGAGCGAATATCGCTTTTGAATATGCCGGAATGGGGATTTGGTTCACGGATGGAGGCTTCGTGAAGATTTCAACGAAAGAATTACGAGTTTGTTACAACTTTTTATCTAGTTATTCTAAACTGTTTTCTATTGTAGATATCTCTGTCGGCGCCACAAGATGAGGGGAAAATTACGCATGTTGTGATGAAGGTGGGTTTTTGATGAAAGAATCCAGTTGAGTGTAAGATCGCTTGCGAAAGCTATCAAACGACCAGCATTCTAACCATTCAATATTTCAGGACAAAACTCCTTGTTTCTATTGGGGTCATCAAAAACGTCACGAGGATCGCAATCGAGTACTTAACGACAATCGTTTTTGAGTGAAGATCTTTTCAAACTTTCTGTACACTGGTGCTGCGCACTGTATCTCTTTTTTTTTAATGTTCTTTCATTTATTGTTATTGTTATCATTCTTGGGGGTCACCCCATTATGGAATATTTAGAGATTTGCGTAGTGCAAAAAAAGAGGCGATAAAAGTTTATTGTGGAAAATCTTGCTTTTTGTAAATGCGAGAAAATTGAGCGATGAAGCGAGAAATTTGAATCAGAAAAGAGAGCAATGCGGATAATTTGGAATTTGGATTGCAAAATATATACGGCATAGCACCCAAAATTGAGATCATGAGATACAATTTAAATCGTCAAAAACATTGACCCTATCGACTTTCGTTGGGACACCTGAGAACCTGGGACTTTACATACAATAACCTACCGTAGGCCTGTAGCGTCCCTATCAGTATGTTCCAAAAAGTGACAACTTCGAGCTGTTATAGTCTTACTTTTGGTTTGGCCGAAAGTATCTACTTTTGCCCTGAGGATCACGATAGTTTCCAAAAGCTACCACGTTTTAGAAAGCTGTTTCTGCTTCGCTATAATCACCTTCAACACTTGAAACAGCACTGATTTTTGAAGTTCCGGGGATTACGGTTATTATCATTGACACAGCTTACGGTAGTTGAACTTGGTTATGGCAAGTTTCAAATTTGAATATAAATTCGAAAATTTGGATTCAAGTTCAGCGGTGTTTCTGTAAAAAAAAAACGAAAGTCTTTAAATGAATTTGAAAATTTCAAACAAATCTATCAATGTTGCACTAACAATTTTCGACTATAAAATGTCATCTTCTGGGAAATTTGAGCCTTTTCTTGAGAAGAGCGATGATCGGAGACTTCCCGTATCAAATGAATGTGACACACTCAGATACGTTCTGAAAAAAAAACAAGCATTTAATTGGAATTGATGGAAGTGCTGCTTCCAAACCATGCTAAGCTTTCTCGACACACAGTGATTTGGATAGTGAAAATCTTTGAATCGTTTTTTTGAAATCTTTTTTTTTGAAAACACACGCGGCACACTTTTTATAGAAAGAGGAAATCTTACAAAAAAAAAACGAATTTCAAGAAAAACTCAATACGGACAATTTTCGAGCCGTCGCCTGACTGCTGCTTCTACACAAAAAATGATATTTTGTAAGTTTTTTTGTGATTTTATTGTTATCGAAGTTTATTTCTAAATGAAGATTGAATAAAGCTTGAATAAAGATTGATTTAGAATAAAGCTTCCTTTAGAATAAAGCTTGAATAAAGCTTCCTTTAGAATAAAGCTTGAATAAAGCTTCCTTTAGAATAAAGCTTTATTCAAGCTTCATTTAGAATAAAGCTTCCTTTAGAATAAAGCTTGAATAAAAGCCGATGAGTAACTATTCTCAACCCGTTTACTATTCTGATAAACCGGGTTGCACTTTAGTGAAACGCTCTTTTTCTTTCTTCAAACTTACCTAGTGTTCCTTCGTTGTTGTTGCTGTTTAAGGAGCAACTCAGCGGCTCCGTGTTCTGTGTCGGAGATCGAGTTACGCGAAGATCCACCAACATCCTCGTCTTCATCCTAAAACGGACTTTTTGTCTCAAAATTTTATTTAGAGAAAGATTTTTGGTGATTTGAAACCTGATATCGCCGATTTTGTTGCACCAGCTGGCTCTGTTAGTGAGTATGGTCGAATTGTGAGCAAAATTTGAAACGTTTTCAATCATTCCAGACTTTTACCGTAATATCTATCATCTAATTTGTTTTAAACAATTTTGTTTAAAAGATTTCGGTTTAAAACTGGGAATTCAACCCAGTTGGCCTTTATTTGAGTCTTATTTTGCATTGAATATCTTTAAAGTCGAACATTGACCATCTTTAATGCTAGCATGGGATTAGTTAACTCCCTCTCGAGTCAGGGAGATCAAGTGCGTTGTGGTGTAAAGTTTAGCACCGTCGGCCGGTAAGCGAAAGGTCGTGGGTTCGATTTCTGGCGGCGCACAAGTTTTTGATCTGCCCTGGTTCCACTACTGGCCACTGACGGCCATGGAGTCCTAGGGCAGACGGACCTAGGGCAACTTAAAAGTCCTGCGCTGCGGGGTCTCAAACCCGCTACCTTTGCTTACGGCCGGTAACTGTGCTAACCATTACACCACAACGCATTTGATTTCCCTGACTCCAGAGGGAGTTAACTTCCCCCCTCTCTGGACGGTTCCACACTTCCCGATTTATAGGCTTGGGGTGGGCTCGAAACTAGTTAAACCTTAGCCAGAATTGCCCTACCGTGGTCACCAGTTGGAACTATGACCGATCAAAAGTTTGGGTGCAGACCCTTCGTTCGCCGGTTTGATTAAAACAATTCAGTAAATCATTTGCATTTAGCTCTCTTGACTTTTTAAAGCTTTGAAATGTTTCACTCACTTTTACAATAACATAATAGGCAGTTAAAAGCGCGGCACAATTGGCGGCAATAGTCGAAATTGAGAGGAAAGGTTGCACGTGGCCTGTCACCACAGCAAGCACCATCACTGAAAAGTTTAAGGTAAAGGTTCAGGTAAAGGTTGAAAAGTTTAAGGTATTCAGGGGAAAAGGGTTATTCTAAAGCTAATTTTGCTAGGCCAGGCCAGGCAGGAAACAGCTGAAACTTTTAAATAACTAATAGCTAATAAACTCACAAGCTTGATTATTTTGAAAGTGATTTATTGTGAGCGAAAGCGTCGTGATGAACGCTGTCGGTACCTGGAAAGGGAAAGAATGACTTTTCAAGGAAAGAATGACTTTTCAATCAGAACCTGTACAATGAGAAAAGACACAGTAACAGTGGTGATGAGGATTCGCGTTTGATCGCGTGGGGTACGTCCAAATCGGTTGCTAAAAGAAGAAGATGGGTGAAGAAAAGACGTGCAAGTTGTCAAGGAAAAGATTACTGTCAAGGAAAGGATTACTGTAATAAAGGATTACTGTAATGTAACTCTAATCAAATCTAATCAAAAGTAAAGATTTACTGTCTAGTGAGGGCTCCCATGTCAATGATCGGCTCTCGGATGAAACCGATATGCAATAACGCCAACAACAAACCCGGTACCAGGAATTGCACTACGAAATCAGCTAGTGGAAGAGCTACCTAAATATTGAAGTAATTAAAAAAAGTTATAGTGATAGTTATAGTTATACAGGGTGCGTCATAATTATTGCAACAAGAGTTCAAAGACGAATAAGAAAGAGAAAAAATAAGAAAGCTGTTTTCCAAACAGCTTTCTTATTTTATTTGCCCCCTTTTTTTGTTGTGTTGCGTTCTATCTTCTTTATTCTTGCCTAATTGCCATCCGGTGAGTTTGAAGGTCATTCATCCTTGGTGATCACTGAGGGAAAGTTGGCCACGAAGAAGACGATTCAGGACTGGTGTGTGACCAACTTTCCCTCAGTGATCACCAAGGATTAATGGCCTTCAAACTCACCGGATCTCAATATGATGGACTTTTCCATTTGGGCAATCTTAGAGGCTAATGTCTGCTCTTTGACCTTGAAGAAGTCTTTGACCTTGAAGAAGTCTTTGACCTTGAAGAAGTCTTTGGCCTTGAAGAAGTCTTTGACCAAAGGATGGAAGGTGACTCCTCGAGCCTCGAGATGACATTCGGGTCGCAGCGGAGGCATATCCGAACCGATTAAAGGCTGTTATCAAGGCAAAAGGCGGTCATGTCGAATGATCTCTTGTTTCCTTATTTGTTACTGTTAAATAAAGCTATTTCTGTTTAAAAAATCTTCTTCCAGTGAAACTTCTTGGTGTGCAATGCCTTGAGTATCTTGTTGCAATAATTATGACGCACCCTGTAGTTATAGTTTAAGTACAATTTCTAAATAAGCTCACTTTCCAAAAAGATCGATTGACTAAATTGATCAACGCTCCATCACGAACCATGCAACGGCCAGCCCATTGTGGTCGAGGTTCCGTGTCTGGAAATAATGCACAAATCTCCAAATCTACTTTTCTTTACAGAGCAAATCTTTAGAGCAATTTCTCTTTAGAGCAAATCTTTCTTTTTAGAGTTTTAGAGATAAGTTAATTCGTGAATTTGTTATTTTTAAATGAAAGGAAACTCTGGACTCTTTTAAAAATCTTTTTAAAACCACGATTTCATTACTTAAACAATAGCTAATATTGAGCTAAATAAATGCTAATATTGAGCTCAACTGTTCGCAATTTTCACGTGTTTCTATTCCCTGCCAGACTTCCAGCTGTGTTCTCTGCTAAATTCCACTTTCCAATCCTCGTTTCCCCCTTCTCAAATCTATTCAATACGGTTCCAATACGGTTCCAATACGGTTCCTATTTGGTATTGAGTTGGTGGTATTGAGTGAGAGGTGGTATTGAGCGAGAAATCCTGAAGAAAACGTTTCATAATAGTAAAAATTTGTGCTTTTGCTCAAAATTGCTCACATAGCTTTGTTGAACTTCATTATTGAACTGTTCAAGCTCACCTTGCTCCAGCGAGCATCACCAGCTCCAACGAGCAGGGCATAGATAATAGATCTATTATATCTATTATCTATTCCCAAGAAACTCATTGAAATATTCGAAATTTCTAGCCATAACATACAGAACTGATAAACAGCTGTTACTTTTCTTTACTTTTCTTTACTTTACAGCTTAAAGCTTTCAAAAGAATTTTATATAGAAAAGAAAAAGAAAAGGATTGCAAAGAAAAGGATGTAGTTTCTAGAGTTTTCTTAAAATTGAACTAATTAAAATCACTTTATAAGTGATTTATGTGGGTTAAATTCAAAAAATAATGTCTAGAATCGTTTTTTTTAAAAAGCATTTTCGATTCTAGGTATATCTATTGGGTATCCATATCTATTGGGTTGGGGAGAATGAGTCGGCGCCAAACTTTAAAGGGACTTTTTGCACACATAAAGCCTTCTTTAAATATACGTTTGGTTTCATCAAAAGGATCCACTATTTCTTCTACAAAATGCCTTTTGGAGATTCCACAAAGCTTTTCTTTCGTGGAGTTTAAGGACTCCCAAACACAGCTAGTCAAAATGCCAAAGAGTCCGACTCATCTTTTGAACAATTTCTTTCGGAAAAACCCTTTGGTGTTTATATAATAAAAGTTAGAGCACATTCAATTACTTTAAGTTGCCAAATTTGCAGGAAGGTCCTCACCAATGGTTTTTCTAGATGACAGTTTGTAGTTTTTGTGAAAAAATGACTTTTTCTTGAGCGGAGGCGCGGTTTAAATTCTCTTTATAAAGTCATTTATGTAGGGAATTAGTTAACATTCTACTCATATCAAACGCATATTATTTGACAAAGTCGAATAGAAGTTTTTTAAAAGACATTTTTTTGATTTTCGGCGCCGAGTCATAGTCCCCAACCCAATATTATCTATTCTCAAGAAACTCATTGAAATATGCAAAAAAAATTTTCTAGCCATAACTCACCCATACAGAACTGATAAACAGCTGCATCGTGCTCGAAAAAACGCAACAATCCCAGCGAGACACAAACGAAGATGATTGCCCAAATCGCCCGCGAGAAGCGCTCAACTGTTCGCAATTTTAACGTGTTTCGGTGGTATTGAGTGAGAAATCTGAAGAAAACGTTTTATAATAATAAATTTGTGCTTTAAGATTGCTCACATAGCTTTGTTAGCTTTAAAATTGCTCACATAGCTCACATAGCTCACAGTTGAACCGCTTTTCAAGCTCACATAGCTTTGTTGAACCGTTTTTCCAACTCAAATAGCTTTTCAAGCTCACCTTGCTCCAGCGAGCATCACCGAGAACAAGGTCATCATTGTGTCCATTGTGTGCGGGATTGTCTCCATTGTTGTCCGAAAGAGATGACACATCACAACCGATTGATTCATTGATCTGAAATCAGCTTGAATACGGAAAAAGATCGAAACTCCACCGTTTGAAACTTCTTTTTCATTAAGAAACTTTATGATTAGATCTAAAGCCTTGGAATTACGGAACTTTGGAGCCTTTGGATGTTTTTAGACATGAAATCAACCACTAGACAGAGCCACCGTAACCTAAGCGTCTATTCTAAGCCACTTCTGAGCTAGCGTAGCCTAATGAACCCTAAAACGTCTGCCCTAAAGCGTGCTTGAGCTATACCGTAGCTCAAAAGCAACAGCAGCAACAGCAGCAAGCTAAAATGTGCACAAACTGCCGTCACCTAGGCGTTCGTTCTAAGCAATCCAGCCATAAAATGGACTTGAACTAACCGGGACCTAAAACAGCTATACCGTGGCAGTCTACCGTAGTCTAAGCAAGTCTATCGTAGTCTAAGCAAGTCTACCGTAGGCTAAGCAAGTAAGTCTACCGTAGTCTAAGCAATTCCTCTTCAAAATACCGTAACTCAAAGGATTTCTCCCAAAATGTGCCTAAGGGCGGGTAAAGCCGGATTTTCCTAGCCAAGTCGGCCTGTCGCGGTGGCGCAATCGGGAGCGAGCTATGTTTACAGCCGACACAGCCGAGTCTAGGGCCGGGTTCGACTCCTCGTCGTGCCCCCTGACTTTTGTTTTTTAAAAAAACGAAATGGAAGATGTACAACAGCAAGGTTAATAAACTAAAAATTATATAAAATCAGCCCACAGAGGAGCCGAGAACCAGAATCACAGATACGGCTACGAGAACTACAAACAACGACAGACAGACAGACACTGATCTACATGCATCCATTTGTTTGGTAAACCCATTTGTTTGGCAAATACCCACCTCGTTCCCTCACCAATAATGTAATACCAGACAGTGAATGGGAGTGGCGCTAAAACGGAAGCCCATCCACAAAATGTGAGCAACCAGATCATTTGATAGAGAGGATTTGGCTGTAAATGTTTATCGGTTTTTGGAGTTATTGGGAAAATTTGAATTTTTTCGACTAACACACGGGGATTCCCAACGATTATACGATAAAAGAGACTCGTCTAAACACTTTTTTAAAAACTGATTCCAATAAAAACTCTGATTTACATGGGTTTTCGCATTTTTAACGTGCACATATTGACAAAACTCACATAAGAGACTCCTTTGTAGAGGAGACGAGAGGGAAACTTTAACAAGAGAATTACGATAGATCTTTTTTGTGTTTTAGATTTTGTGAGATTAGATTTTGTGAAAATTTAAGCAAAAATTCCTCTCTACATCCTTGTGCTTTGTGCTCTGGGAAACGCGCACTTTCTGGCGTAAAAATAGATCTGAATAGATGAATATCTTCTCAGAGAATGTGCGTTTAAAAGAGCACAAAGTAAAAGAGAAAAAAAACGGCTTGGATGATATTCTTGAGTAGATTACTGATTACTACTGATTACTCTCTTATTTTCATTATCTATTTGAATGTCTAAGCTGAAGATAAGCTAGAGTTTTTTTCTTAATATCATCTTATTTCAAACTCACATATCGTCGATCTCCTTCTCGTTTCTCTCTCTTTCCCATTCCTAACATCACCGCGCACAACGGGGCAATCAAGCAAAAGAGAAGTACCGGATAGGCAAGCGCATAGACGAACTAAATACTTTATACAGTTATCTGTTATCTAATCTGTTATCTAATCTGTTATCTAATCTGTTATCTAATCTGTTATCTAATCTGTTATCTAGTCTGTTATCTAGTCTGTTATCTAGTCTGTTATCTAGTCTGTTATCTAGTCTGTTATCTAGTCTGTTATCTAGTCTGTTATCTAGTCTTTAGTCCTTAAAAAGTCAACTTACTTTTCTTTATTACTAATCTAGAAGTAAAGGAATTAACAAGAAAAAATAATTTCCGGGGAGGGGATCGAACCCTCGACCTTTCGCTTTCGGACTCTAAACTCTAACCACTGAGCTATCCGGTACCTTAACCTGCGAGGAGAAAGAAGGGAAGACAACGGGAAAGAAGAAAAAAAAGAAGGGAATCCACGTGATCTGATTTTCAAGCCTTCCCCCTTGTTTTCCCTTCTTTCTCTTCGCAGGTTAAGGTACCGGATAGCTCAGTCGTTAGAGGCTAGAGTCCCGGAAGCGGAAGGTCAAGGGTTCAATCCCCTCTCTAGGGGATTTTTTTCTTCACTTCTTTATTACTGGTTACTCAAAAAAGCTTGTCATTCCTTAGTTTCCTCTTTTCAAAAAGCTCCACTTGACAAGGGAAATCTAGTACCGATTCGGTTCAGTTGCTCAATTTCATTAAATGATACTGTGACTAAGAAAATGACAACCATTTTATTGATGATCTTTCCACATCTCGACATTAGCACTTGGATCTTCCACTCCCCAAAGAGTTTCCATTTTCCCAAAAGTTACTCATCACTAGTACACTTATTATATATTCTTTTTTTTTTCAGAATTGCTTTGAGAGACAAGTTGATGTGCTTCCCACGCTCAATTCGTGTGTGCTAGTTTGTCGAAAAGGATTAGTGAAGGGGGAATTCAGGGCTATTCAATGCATTTTTCTGATGACGATTTATCATTTTTATTCAGAGAAAAAATGAGAGTAATGTGTAAAGAGAAATGGATTAAGTTGATTAAGATTTTGGATAGATCTCTGGCCTGATCTAGAGCCACTTATCTACACTTCTATTAGGTTTAATGGACTAAGTTGATTAAGATTTTGGATAGATCTCTGGCCTGACGTAGAGCCACTTATCTACAGATCTATTAGATTTAATGTCTACAATTTTTTCTTTTAAAAAGTTCTATAATTTCTTAAGAAAATACCTTTTGAAAGAAAGTTTAAAACAATAAAATTTTCTGTTTTTCTGTTTTATAGAGAGTTGCTGAATGAGTTGTTTTTAATTTTACATTTAATTAAATTTTACAAATATATTTAATTAAATGAGCTTTATCTTTCTTTTACTTTAATAGAATAGATTTGTATTAAAGAAATTAAAGAAAGAAAGAAAGTAAAGAAAGTAAAGGAAGTAAAGAAAGAAAGTAAAGAAAGAAATTGGAATAATTGGTGTCCATTTGGTGTCCTTTGTCCTTTAAAAATCCATAAAAAAAGCAATTCTCAAGAATTTCTTAAAACCTATTTCATAAAGAAAAAAAAATCATCTTTTTAATAATTTAAATAGAAATTTTGTTGGTGATTTATTTTTTTTAGAAAAACAGCTAGCAAATTGGTAAAACTTATATGTCGTAGCCGTTTACGAAATTCAGCCGCTAACGAATGAGGGTATTTCCGGGCATCAAATCATAAAGTGACCCACATAAAAAATGTTTATAATACATATATTTTATAATAAATTTTTGAAATTAGCTCATTTGATTCAGTAGAAAATTTTTTTTTTGAGCCCCCAAAGTCTAGGTTCAAAAATGCCTATAAAAATTTTTCTACTCAGCCAAAAAACTTGCCTAATAGCTCATTTGTAGCCAATTTGATGCAGTTTCTTAAAGTAAAGCCATCTAAAACAATTTTTCGTTGAAAGTAGGAGAAAGAGGGCGAGGAACAAACTCAGGGCAATTCTCAAATGTGAAAACAGCGACCGAGCTCAACTGAAGTCGTTCCTCGCCCTCTTTCTCCTAGCTTTGAAAAGCAAATGTTCAAGGTAGCTTTACTTTAAGAAACTGCATCAAATTGGCTACAAAATGCGCTATTAGGCAAGTTTTTTGGCTATTTTTTAGTAGTAAATTTTTTATAGCCATTTTTGAACCTAAACTTTGGGGGCTCAAAAAAATTTTCTACTGAACCAAATGAGCTAATTTCAAAAATTTATTATAAAATATATGTATTATGAACACTTTTTATGTGGGTCACTTTATGATTGGATGCCCGGAAATACCCTCATTCATTAGCGGCTGAATTTCGTAAACGGTTACGACATATACACAAATCACTTTGTTCAAGTTCAAGTGATTGTTTTCTTTATTCAAAGCTTATTCAAAGCTTATTCAAAACGAACCATATGACTCCATCCATTGTTGAGTCGACCAAACATGAAACCGACATTTGCGGATACCTAAAAATAATATTCTAAATCTCTTTCTTTAAAGCTCGCATCAACCTCGCATCTCTTATTGGGAAAATCAAAGAAGAACCCCGTTCCACAACAACATTTCGCTGCCTGAACGATTATAAAATCATTTCATTGTTTTAACTTCTCACTGGATCAATGAATGACGTTTTACGAGATGAATGATGTTTTGTAAAGACTGTATCACTAAGCTAAACTCACTCTCTGATCATCTGTAGCACATTGATCGGATGGAAGAATTGAGACGTTGTGAATCCTAAAGAGTATTAAATTGAATTAAAAGATGCGCTTCAAAAAAAAGCTATTGTACTTTTTCTTAAACTTTCTCAATCAGAGAGCTGAATATCAGCTCAGCAACATCAGCAACATTCTTAGCCTGAGCCTGGACATCAGCTCAACGACATTCTTAGCCTGAGCCTGAACATCAGCTCAGCAACATCAGCAACATTCTGAGCCTGAGCCTGGACATCAGCTCAACGACATTCTTAGCCTGAGCCAGAACATCAGCTCTCTGATTAGCATCAGTTTAAATAGCTTCTAGTTAGATAGCTTAAATAGCTTAAATAGCTCGTCACGGGAAAAATAGCTCTCCATGGTTAAATTTCTATTTTTTTCTTATTCTTATTGAATACAGAATAAAATTTATCTACATGAGATCATTTAAAACCAAATTCGTGTCGAGAAAAGCTTAGTTAACCTCATTTTTTGGCGTTTTCTTATGCTAGAATTGTTCTATTTGTTCTTATGCTTTCAACAGATAGCTTTTTCTCTATACTCAATCAAGAAAACGAAATATAAATAAACTTAATCGTAAGCGCATTATTTTGGTCGGCATTATTATTGAGCAACTTCTCTCAATCACTGTAAAAAAGGCTGCATAAAGTAAACTTTGTTAAATTGTTAACTTTAGCAAAAAGAAGAATCTGATTGTCATTTGGGTAATATAAACTGGTAAAAAAAGCTACCGTAAATACTGTAAATGGACTCCATCCCCATAATGACGGTGTGGAGTGTTGCGTAGTCTAGTTTTGAACGCGTTTTTCTCGACACTGGTTTATGCTACAATGCGCGCTGAGGTATCAAAAAATAGCCCTGAATTTCAGCTATTTTTTGATACCAAAAATGCATTTTTTGAAAGTACGGACGCTTTGAAAAAGTACCCCGTCGTACCGTCGCGTAGTCGCAAAAGTTTTTTAGTATTTCATTTTTTTCAAAGCACCCGTACTTTCAAAAAATGCATTTTTGGTATCAAAAAATAGCTGAAATTCAGGGCTATTTTTTGAAACCAAAACGAACATTGTAGCATAAACCAGTGTCGAGAAAAACTCATCGAAAGCTAGACTACGCAACACTCCACACCGTCATTATCGGAGTGGGGTACTATTACAGTATTTACGGTAGTTAAAAGATAAATTAATGCTGAAAATCACCTGAGATCATCGTCGCCATCAAGGGCGTTTAGGTGCATTAGCTGATTGATTCTTTTTCGAAAAGTTTTTGGGTTGAGAAGTCGATTGATTTTCTCAACCCAATCCCTTGACTAGAATTGAAAATGAAACTCTCAATCGTTTCCGGTTCGCCAGCCTCCTGCAATTCAATTATATACTTTTGCTATACGGGTTTATTTATATTTTTGGGAAAAGTGAAAGTGTTTTTAGTTTTTTTAGTTTTCTCGATTTCTCTACGCACTTCTTAAAGTTTAGTGCTTTAGAAAGCTACATTTTTTATCATAAAATACACTTACAACAAACTTTCTATAATTTTAAAACAAAAAAAGACAGAAATTCTTTTGCTAAACTTCTTTTCATTACTCGAAATCCACTTGAGGCGTTCAGACGAAAAAAAAGGAGAAAAAAAAGGAGAAAAAAAAGGAGAAAAAGAAGCGAAAAATGAGTGCTTTTTTGGGGAAATGCTTTATGAAATAAAGGTGGGTGAAGTAAAAGAAATAATTGGTTAGGGGAAAAAACGAATAAGGGGATGGGGAAAGTTTCAAGTTTTTTTGAATTTGAAATTTGAAATTTGAGTCTAGTAAATGAAGCCTGGCTAATTTTCGGTTTCTCAGTAATGCTTTTAGATAAACTTAGATAGATAAACTTTAGATAAACTTTAGATAAACTTAGATAAACTCCGTTAGATAAAAATAGCGTTAGATAAACGCCTTGGTTGCTGAAGCCAGGTTGCTGGGTTTTGTTCACTGTAGTTTTGTGCATTGTAAACGCATCCTTTCTAGCACATTGGTTTTTCATTTCTTAAGCAAATATCGCAGCCAAGACAAGAACAGTTGTTTGCTAGAGGGTGAGCGTTTACTAGAACTACAATAGAAATACAGGGTGATCTGCAATAACGTTTCGGGATTTTCGGCAGCCTAAAATCCTCAAAGTTTGAATTTTGGGAGACAAATGTCTCTGTCTACACAAAAGTTTTGTCTACACAAAAGTTTGGAGGTTCTTAAGCGATCGTTGACCAGGGAATGGGTGTACCACTCGGGTCCAACTCGAACCACTCGGGTCCAACTCGAACCACTCGGGTCCAATGACAATGGTCCAATGGATCTGTGCAACCGGCAAAACTCCTCTCATTTTCATCGATTCTGGGGTAAAAATCATATCAATAAGGATGTATGGCCGCAACTCCACACTGGGAGCGAATCCTGTTTTCTGACGAGAAGCTCTTCTCGGTGGAGCAAAGCTACAACCACCAAACCGATCCAATTTTGTCAACGTCCTCTCCAGGCAGCTCTGCAATTGTTCAACACCGACAAAATCCCAAATCGGTCATGGTATGGGCCGGATCTGTGCAACCGGCAAAACTCCTCTCATTTTCATCGATTCTGGGGGTAAAAATAAATATCAATAAGGATGTGTACCAAAAAAAGATTCTCGAGGATCTTTTGCTTCCATGGGCTCAACAGCATTTTGGCAACGGATTTTGGACCTTCCAACAAGTCTCCGCTCCTTCTCATCGAGCCAAATGCACACAGGACTAGTGTAGGACAAACTTTCCGGATTTCATCTCGGTCCAGGAATGGCCTCCGTATTCGTGCGATCTCAATCCCTTGGACTACAGTGTTTGGTCAATTTTGGAGGCAAGGGTTTGTGCAAAACCCCACAAAAGTTTGGAGGCTCTTAAGCGTTGACCAGGGAATGGGATCGAACCACAAAGTCCGGCCGAGCTGCGGCCCATCGCCGAAAACTTCATCAAGCGTTTGAGGCTCTGCATCGGAGCCAAAGGTGATCACTTTGAAGAAAAGTAGATTTTATATCGTGTTGTTAATAAAAAAAATGGCTTCTGTTACAAAATCTTTTTGGGTTTTAGAAAGATAGGCTAAATTAGGCCGCAACGTTATTTCTGGTCACCCTGTAGTACACCAGGTAAGCTCATTTAAGAAATAAGCAAATAAGCACAGATAAAGCAATAAGCACAGCAATAAGCACATTTTAAAGAACCAGATAAAGCTCTAGATTTACTTTGAAAATAAGTATTCCTAGATAAAACAGAACGTTCGCTCGAAAAAGAAATGAGATGAGGGGATAATGGAAGTGGATGATGACTTCCGAGAGATGATTGAAGGCACGGCGAAAGGGGAAAGTCAATTATTCGCAGAAGATTATAGTTTAAGGGAAATATCATAAAGGAATCAAAGTACAACTGAAACTATAAGGGGAAAAGTCTCATCGATGCGTACATACATCGATGCGTACTGTATGCGATACGCGTACAGTCAGACGAGGGTTTCTGGACTAAAATTTGGCTTTAAATTGACTTTTAAGACTTGAAAAGGTTCTGGCAATTGTGCAAAAGACTGGCACAAATTTTTGACAAATTAAATCTCATTTGAGAATCATTTACAGGGGAAAATAGAAATTTCCATCACTGGGAAAATGGTCTTTGTGCGGCGGTGTAATCGCTCGTCGTCTGGCACACGCCCCTGATAGATAGGTGGTTCCTTTTGGGATCGGTAAAGAAATAGTAATGACTGGGCGGGAAAGGAGACGTAGAAGGGCTAAGGTTTCAGATGAGTTCGGAAACTGAGAGAACTGAACCTCTCCTTTTCTTTAGCAATCGATAGCCTGCTTTCTGAATGGGATCAAAATTCAGTGAACAGACAAATAGGAAAAGATTACAGTAGCTTTTCAAAATTAGCCACCACGTTTTAGAAAACGAAAAACACCTAGGCTAGATCTAGACTAGAAACTAGACTATAGTTTTTTATTCTTTCCAAATCTAGCTACTTTCAGGCACCCTCAAGCAGCTCAATAATAATAACAAATTCAAATAAATTGAATTACAATAATAATAACTAAAGTTAATTATTATTGTAATTTAAAAGATTTCTAAGAAAGAAATTTAAAATGAATTAGCAAAAAAAACAAAAAAAAACAAAAAAAAAGAAAAAAAAAACCAAGTTTTGTTGAGAAATCGTTTATTTACTTTTTAGAAAACCACTAGGGAAATCACATTTTCTGTAAGAATCTTCAAAACATTCTCAATTTGAGAAAAATAAAACGAATCAAAAAGCTTTTAATGAAAGAAATAGTTTTCACAAAATATAGACTATTTTGAAGCTTGAGCAATTGAGCTAGAGTGGCTAGAGTGGCTAGAGTGAGCTAGAGTGGCTAGAATGAGCTAGAGTGAGTGAGTTAGTGAGCTGTTTTGAAGTTTTCAAGCACAAAGTACAAGCTTTAGATTGAACAAAGTTTTTCTTGGGTTTTTTACGAGTTTCCCTTGAGTGTTCAGTGATTTTTGCTTCTTTTCTCGGGCAACAATTCGATTGGGCTTTTCTAGGGATTGGAGGGGAAAGAGGGGAGGAGGGGGATTTGATCTCATTTAGAAAGATGATAAGAAATGGGGAAAAGGAATTGGAATGTTAATGGAAACGGATCTTTCTCATAGGTGATCTAAATAGGATCACAAGATTGAAGGAGCCTTGGAGTTGTCTTGGAGTTGAAGTAGAGCACTTGCAAGACTTCTTGAAGATCAAAGAACTTGATTCTTTTGGATCTTTAAATCAAATTTCATGAATTTCACAAATTTCGAGAATTTTACAGAAATTTACAGGAAATTAGTGATTCTTTTAGTTTAATTCGTTACTGGATAGATAAAGTTGTTGAAAAGAAGACTGGAATTCAGTGTAGAAAGACTTCTACATTGAATTAAGGCAGTAAATTTTGGATGTAAGAGGATGTAAGAGAGAAATTTCACGCTTCACTACATAGATAGAATAAAAAGAAGATGGGAAAAGCTTTGGATTTAAAGCTGAATGTTTTCTTTTTGAAGGGTGAGAAGTTTTTGACTGAAAATTTGGGATATAGAGTTTTTCTTTTTTTTTTTGGGAGTGCCCCGGAAACTCCAAAAAGGAAAAGTCAGCAAACACAGAAACGTCCAATTAGGATTGGGGACAAGGGGAAAGGAAAAGGATTGGCACAGGGAAAGCTTTTGATCTATGTTAAAGATCTATTTGAGTAGCCTTTGAGTAGTGTTTGAGTAGCCTTTGACTAGGCTTTCAGTAGCCTTTGAGTAGCCTTTGACTAGGCTTTCAGTAGCCTTTGAGTAGCCTTTGACTAGCCTTTCAGTAGCCTTTCAGTAGCCTTTCAGTATCCTTTGATTTATGAAGATCGGCCAAAGATTTATAACTCACCTATAGAATACTCTGTGAAAGTCTAGATCTAGGTCAAGCTTGCATTAAAAAGGACTAGAGTTAGACTGAAGTTAAACTGAAGTTAGACTGAAGTTAGACCGAACTCTAGGGTATCTAGGGTATCTAGGGTAGCTAGGGCTTGTCTTAAGCTACCCTAGCAAAATCTAGGCTAGCTTAAGACAAGCCATGAACAGTAGGACAATAGGAATCTCATAGAAATCTCAAAAATAGGAGAATAATTCTCATGGATAATTCTTTAAGGAATAAAGAGCAAATAATTGAATCAAATGAAATGAAATGAATCAATGAAAATAAATATTACAAAGAGAAGAACTTGAACAGAATTTAAGCAGCTTGATCTAGGGAAAGATTGGAGAATGAATCTTCAGAGAAGGTGAAATCTTCAACAAAAAGAATGAATGCAAGAAGGAGTTTCTTTTGATTGATGAAGATTACGAAGTGGCCTAGCGAAGGACAAGCGCGACACTAGCACCGCCACTTCAGAGGCCCTAGATTCACCAAAATCGAGTGAATCGTTCTGATTTTTTGGAGATAATTCCTAAATATCTCTCTTGGAATGGTGTCCATTATCTAATCGATTCAAGCTTTCATCTTTTCTATATAGCCTTTGCAAAGTTGAGAGCCGTGTGAGAACTAGAACCAGTACTAGGATCAGGATCAGGACCAAGATCAGAACTAGAACTAGAACTAGGACCAGGATCAAGAGCAGGGATAGAACTAGGACCAGCACAGGACCGAACAGGCCGAACAGCTACACTCATGATAACACAGCTTTGGACTTGACCTAACCTAGTAGTAGCTTGAGCAAT